TGGGGGGGTGAGGTCCCATGTGCAGGGAGCAGACCCTTAAGCAGGACCTTGCAGCAGCATTATTAAACCTGCAGGATTAAGGTTGGGGGGGAGCACTTTAGGGGGTGGAAGCCCCCCCCATATCACCAGCCCCCTCACCTCTGGGGTGGGGTTGCCCCCAGTTTACCCCAGTGCTGGTAGCTGCAGGGAATTGGAAGCAGCTTAGGGCCGGGGAGGGGGGGTGACAGGAGGGGTGGAGGGGCAGGATTTGACCCCGGGAGCAGCGAGGGAAGAGGGAAGGGGGGGCAGGATGGGCCCATGGGACCCCCCCTCGCCTTGAGCAGGGGGTTGGGGGCAGGATGCAGCTGGTGTTTCTCCTCCAGCGGGGCTGGGGGGGAGTGGGGTACAGTTACTGCGTCCCGAGGGAAGGGCAGGAAGGGTTTGGGGTGGCAGGATGTGGGTCTGGCCGCTCTTGTCGGGGTACGAGGGGCACGATGCAGCCCCCCCACCCCCCACCCAGCCCCAAACAGAGTGAGGCGTTTCTCTGGGCTCCCTCCCTGCCCCTGCCCCGGGATTAGCCCTGGAACAGGGAATAAAAGTTTGCCCTAATCCTCTCCCGGGGATTTACCAGCGCTGCCGCACCCACGGCCGCGTCCAGCCCCGGCCCCGGCGCCTTTTAATCCCTCCAGGGAGATGGCAGAGCCCGGCTCCTTCCCGGTCTGTCCCCAAGTGCCATCGAAGATGCTGCTGTCCGTCCATCCGTCTGTCCCTCCGTCCGCTGGGCCAGTCCCTACACCCTCTCGGTAGCCCCCTCGGGCTCCCGGGAGAGCGGTCTGTCCTGCGCCGGGGCGGCCGCCATGCTCTCTGCCTGCAGCAGCAGGTTGCAGCCCAGGAAGAAGACGGCGAAGGCGACGGCGAGGCAGAGCACCAGGACGATGGCGATTTGGGCAGCCTCGGCCACTCGCAGCTCCCCCCAGGCCCCGGCCTGTGCGCTGGCATTCATCTCCTCCTCCTCTTCCTCCTCCTCCTCCCAGGAGCAGAGTGCGGGGCTGTGGTGGGTCAGTGACAGACGGGGAGGGTTTAAGTGATGTCAGGGACCGTCTGAGCCGCCCACGTGGCCCCCCCTCACTCTTGCCCAGAAGCTGGATGCTCCCCCCAACCCCCAGGCAGGAGAAGCAGCTTTGCCCCCTCCTTGGTGCTGTGGAGGGGTGCAGAGTCCTGCGCGGAGCGGGGACCACTCTGTACCCTCCCCTGGGCACGCTTTGGGGGTGCCCCACTCGGGATATTGCTCCCAAGGGGGTGGACAGCACTGACCCAGCCTGGGGATGTCACCCCCAATGTCCCAGTGCCCGTGCCCCCCTCTCCCTATGGCGGGATCCCCCAGCTCAGCCTTGGCGCCCATTTCTCTCCCATCCCACGGACACTGTCCCCAGAGACAGCCCGGACCGGACCAGACTCCACCTGAACGCAGGAACACTTTATTTTTGCCCCAGAGGGGGCAGGGAGCTCTGCTCCAGGCCCCCCAAGGGAAGCAGCTCAGTCCCAGAGACAGGGGGGACACACGGTGACAAGAGACAAGGCTGGTGCTGGCCGTGCCACGCAGAGCTGGAGAGCGGGTTCGGATGCCACGTCCCCTCCGTGCTGACCCCAGCGTCACCGTGCTGGGCCACCAGCCCCGCAGCTCTCTCCCTCCCCGAGGACTCACAACCCCTCTGCCAACCTGGGAGCCACCCGGCCGGTTCTCCGAGCCAGGCCAGCGCCCGCAGCGCAAACCAAACCAGCAGCAACCCTCAATTAAAGGCCAGGCCAAGTCCAGCTCCCCACAGAAGCTTTTTGGAGGCAGAGAGGAGAGAACCACGCCAAGACACTGTCCCAAAAGAGCCAGGATGCTGTGCCAGAGAGGTGCCACCACCCAGGGTGAACCCGCCTCGATGGCACCTGGCCCTACAGAGCCAGAGTGTCCTTAATGAGCCGGCGCATGGTGGTGGTGACTGAGGTGCCCAGGGAGTCCGTGATCTGGTAGGAGATCTTGTACAGGTAGGGCTGCACGTCCTTCAGGCTGGTGTCGAAGACGTTGTCCACCTCCGACTGGGTGGGCATCTTGGGCAGGTACTCGTGGCGGTTCATCACCTCCACGATGTTGATGATCTTCTCGCAGAGCTTCTCACCCACCTTCTCCCGGCAGATCTGCCGCTCCTGCTCGTTAGCCAGGTTCACCACGTTCACCTTGATGGTCCACAGCTCCCAGGGGATGCACTCATCCGAGAAGGGCCAGCGGGACTTCTTCTTCTGGTAGAACTCCAGGGAGATCTGCCCCATCCCGTCGCTGCCCGAGTTGCGCAGCGCGTCCTGCCGAGACAGCACGCAGCCCTGCTCAGCTGTGTGGGCTGGGTGCCACCTTCCCCCCGCAGGCAAGGACACGGCACGGCCCACGGGTTTTTAAGCTCCCACTTTTGGCCCCCCCGGGTTCCCATGGGGGTCCCTCACCTTGAACTCCCCGACAGCCTTGCGAAGGGCCCGATCCAGCTCCTCGGAGGAGACGCGGACGTAGGCGAAGTCGATGAAGTCGCAGTCCACGTCCTGGGTGCCCACGGTGCCGATGGAGTAGGTGCCCTCCTTCTTGTAGTGGAACTTGCCGGTGCTACGGTGCAGCAGGATGGTGTGGAGCACGGCCAGCATGGCCTCCTCCACCTGCCGACCCTCCACCGACACCTCCAGCACCTCTGCGCGGCAGTTCATGGCAGGAGCGACCGCGGGGGGGGCACGATGATGGGTCCTGCGGGGAAAGAAGGGTGTTGGGGGCTTCACTTGGGCCCCTGCTTGAGTAACAGCCCTTCTACCCCTCTACCAACCCCTTTTACCCACCCTTGGGGACCCTGCTGTCACAGCATGTGCCCTCCCCATCCTGCAGGGGTTCAGGCATCCCAGCCCCCTTACACCCCTCAGGGCTCCAGGCATCCCGCTGTGCCCCCCACATCCCCCCTTGCAGGGGCCCACAAGTCCCAGACCGGGCCCCTCTACCCCCCACTCCCCCTCAAA